AAAAAGAGACTAAAATACAATTTTCATTGACTAAAACTAGACTAAATGTCATCAGTTTTCGTCGACTAAAACTAGACTAAATGTCATCAGTTTTCGTCAACTGAAACTAGACTAAATGTCATCAGTTTTCGTCGACTAAAACTAGACTAAATGTCATGAGTTTTCGTCGACTAAAACTAGACTAAATGTCATCAGCTTTCGTCGACTAAAACTAGATTAAATGTCATCAGTTTTCGTCGACTAAAACTAGACTAAAATGCTCAGAATTTTAGTTGACTAAAACTTGACTAGACTAAAAAGAGTATGAACGTGACTAAAACTAATAAAAACTAAAATGACAGCTTCACACAAAGACTAGACTAAAACTAAAATTAAAACAGGCCGCCAAAAACAACACTACTCTGCGGTCCCCGTTGACTTTCATAATAGGGCTTTTCACACTTTAAATAGTTAATCTTGGGTCATACTAAACCCTGGGTAAAAGGAACTGTCCTTCTGTGACTGTCCAAATCATGTGAATATGAGGCACACGATTGGCTGTCAGTTGCTCAGGAACATTCTAACACTGCATCATTTCAAACTGTACAAGAGCAGGGTTTCATAGCCCCAGTAAAAAGCAGTTGCTAGCATCACTTCTAAATTACAAGTGCAAAATGTACCTTTATCCTGGGTTAAGCGCAGTGAGAAAATATGGAGAAAAAAAAACATGGGGAAAAAAGCAGTTTGGACATTTTGCCAGATAACCACTTAAAAACTTCAAAATAACTTAAAGGGAAAGCTAATGATGACACATTTTTATTTTGTGGATGAACTATTTTTATGAAGCAATGTAATAGTCATATGACCATATTCCTTACTGCTCTGTAGTGTGTTAGCAAGGTTTGTCTGGTTTATCTTCCTCAGGACGTGCAGTGTGATCTTCAGAGTCCCTTCTCTGACTTGGTTCTGACCATCATCCTCTTGCTCATCCTTCTCCTGCTCCTCTTCCTCCCTCCCAGAGCATTCTGGGTAATCTGGACTCAGCAGTTTCTTGAACCTCTTTAGTTCTTTCTTCATGAGAGAGATGCTTTCCTGCTCAAGCTCCTGAAATTAGTGGATATTCAAACAAAGACAGACACAATGTCAGCTACAGAGAAAATTAACATACACATTTATTGAACAGCCTACAGACCATTGATTCTTGAGTACTGAAATCGAACAGTGCAAAATTAAAAGATGGATCGGTGCTGAAGGAGGGGGATTTCAAATCTAATAACACAAATACTATTTATTAATACTCCGTAACATTTTCTAGAAAATAAATTGGAATCAGAAGTTGAAACTGCTTATGAATATTTTGATGTTGCAATAGTACTACACATTGTTTGGCAATGTAGTTTGAAACGACTACAATGCCTATGGGAACACGCTAAACTGTAAATGACTTTACATTTCAAATTATACAAGTTGTGACAATACAAATTTCATAAAGGTTTTAAAAAATTAGCTTAACATTTCAGCCCCCCAAAAAAACGTTTACAAAGAAAAGTGATGAGTCAAAATTCAATGTACAGAATACTCCTACCATAAAAATATAGCCCAACTGGTTTCCAGTGGTAGACTCCCTGGTTGGAGAGAGCATTTCTGGTAAATGTCTATTCAAACTTACAATTCATGCATGAACATATGATTAATGTGCGTATTTGTCAGTATTTGTCTCACCCCACAACAGCAGAAGAGTCTCCTGAACTGACGTTTACTGGTTCATTCACTGACTGGCCACTCTTCAGGGACACACAGCTGTGTTTAGCCCATTTTCTCTGAAGCAGACTGAAATACAACAGCAATTAAACTTAACTTAACATTAGGTATGACATTGTCTGTTCTAAACCATTTAATGATTTAAAGTTAAAGTGTTGTAAATATTTTGGGGTTAAAACTACTTAATGACAACTAGACACCTCCCACACACACAAAACCCACAAGATCGAGAATACCCTCAATCCCTTGTATCATGGTTCAAAACTTTAAAAATCCTACAGTTACCAGATTTTGTAATGTTGCAGTTCTAATTTTTACAAAAATAGTTTTTACCTTAGAGCTACTTAGATACTTTAAATGTAATTTAAGCTATGCAGTCAAGCTGGTTCCTCCAGCTGTAAATAGTTTGTCCTCACCTGATAACAACAGAAGAATCTCCTGAACTGAAGTTTACAGGTTCATTCACTGATTGGCCACTCCTCCTGGACACACAGTTGGGTTTAGAAGATTTTATCTTAATCATCATTTCAACTCAAGCTGGATCATTATTATGAGTAAAAAGTATCAGTACTTTTATTCGGTCTGTTAAAATTCTATTTGTGCATTCTTAAAAGAAAAAAAATATATATATATTTTCAGTGGAAAACATACCGTCATACCATATTGTAATAACATGAGGGTGAATACGATTTTCGAGTGAACCACTTACATGAAAGACGAGAAAGCATAGTGACCAAAAAATTTATAAATAAATAAATACAAATAAAATAAAATAAATAAATAAAAAATCTTAAAGTTTGCTTACCTTTCACTTGCCTTTGTTTTACTTTCTTGAGACTCCATGACACTATTTAAAAAGTTTATTTTGTATCTGCAGAGAAACTGATTAATGTTCTATTAAGCTAAAAGCCATAAAACTCAATATTTGTGCTGCTGTTGTTTTACTCATCAAATCTTATCAAAGACAAAATAATCTGCTGTATGAAGCACTTACTATTAGACATCTCACAGATTTTTTAACAGCAGCAGCAGTCTAGAATTCCTCATTTACATTAATATTACAAGCATACCATAGCATACTAATTGTAGACATGTGACAACCCTGTATTTACTCCATTTTAGTTTTAGAAAATGTATAGGTTAAGAGTTTAAGCCCAAGTTGTGATTCTCGCAGTATTCCCCAGCTCTCCCAAAGAAGTTCTTCCTGTTTTAAATGTTTTACTTTCACCTATGGAGGAGGAGGAGTCCAAGCAACATTTCAAGATGCAGCAAGTATATAATGTGATGAATTCTTGCTGTGGAAAGTGTAATGTATCTGCTGTGGCCCAAATACTGTGCCAGTTTTACATAAGCACTGTATCAAACTCAAATGAATAATCCATTTATTGTGCATTCATACTTAACAATGTAAGTCACATTTGAAAGTACATCTCAAATATAAATCTTAAAGTGCCCCGATTATGGATTTTTGAAAATGACCTTTCATGAAGTGAGTAATGCAGGTGAATGTGAACATTCTGCAAAGTTTTAAAGCTGAAAGTGCATCATAAATAAAGTTATTGTCTCTCAAAAGAAAGAGTCACCTCTGAACTGCTGAAACGATTTGTTCTAAATTCTAATCCCATTTCTACATTCTGCAGGGGCATCCTGCAAAAACAAACCTCAAATGCTGTAGCTTGTTTGTGTAGATAATGTTATGTTGAGAAGACACTGTGCTCTGCGCTGTGACTGTGAATTCGGTTCATTTTCACTTCCAAAGGATGAGGCTGTGAAGAATCGGTGGTTAAAATTCCTCTTTACTTCGATACCACAGCAGTATAATCCCAAACTTTTGCTGTGTTCCCATCATTTCACTGATGACTGCTTCTCCAGTCTCTGTGACTTCAACGTGGGATTCGTAAACCGGTTTTCCCATGAAAGATGTGTCAGTGCTCACCTTGTTTGGACCAGCCTGCTCCTCCAATTTACAACCTGTAAGTATGATTAATAAGTGTTGCTTTAATATTCTGTTGAGCGTGCAAAATAAGTAGTTTTGTGTGTTGTGTTGCGTATACACTCTCCAGCTAACTCACAATAAATCAGTGGTGGGCCCGCTATTGTCTAGAAATGTGTCGATTAATATAGAATGTCTGTCGTTTTTATTACTTGGAGTCATGATAAAGGATGGATCAATATGTTGGCTTACAAACTGCAGTGCATTATCAGTACCCTATGTCTGTGTTCGGCTAACACATATACCATTATTGGTTCGCTAACCTTTTTCACCACTGATTTTGTATTTTTAGGACAGAGTGGAGCACTATCGTTATTATAATTGGATGTATTATTGATAATCCGTATTCCAGTAATGGTGATGGGTGTTCCATTTCTGACGTGCGCTGTATGCAGTAGAGTAGACCAATCCCAACTGACTGGATCATCGGACCAATCAGACCATAGTAGCCTCACGCAAAGGAGAGGTTTGGAAAGATGAATTAATCTTTTGAGAGTCATTGAGAAAAAAAAACATAAAATTAAATGCATATTATAAGAAAATGAAAGTGTTTTTGACCTTGCATGCATGTAAACCTCTTGTTGGGTACTCTGCATCTTTCAAACTGCATAATAAGGGCATTTAAATATAAAACTTAAATATAAACATATCTAAATGTAACTGTTAAATCTACATTATAAGCTAAACAAGAGAGAACGTGCAAATGATTGATATCTTTTATATTATCTTGATCAATGGTATTTTTCTGCAGGCAGCTGTGAAAGGTCAGCTGATTTACTCACTATGCCTGGCTACACAGTGAAGTGTCTTCAATAGAAACTCTACTGATAGGAAAAATAGAGCTTTTTGAACCTCTGAACCAACTGAACTATTTGCTTTGCAAAATGATTCACAGTTTTGAAGCACTCCAAACACTGTATGCCGATGACACATGCTAGTCAAAATGATGTGGTTTTCAATCCTGGTCCTGAGGACCCACTGCTCTGCACATTCAGACTGGCTATGATGGTAGAAGGTCTAGACAACATATCCATTTTCAATGGCCAAGGACCGCTCAAGAGGATGTCTGACATATACGTAAAGCAACCAGTTAAAGTTTGTTTTGTACAGCATCATGTTTCGAGTCTTGAAAATGTAAAGTCGATGCCCCTACAATAGTAGACCAGTGTGCAACCAATAATTCAACAATAATATATATAATGTTTCCACTAAGTGCCTCAAGAGAAACTCTTGAACGTCCCCTTATTTAGCATGCTTAATTGAGATCATCAGCTCTTCAGGAGAGAGCTTCATGAACTGAACTGAGTGTGTCAGATAAGGGAGACATACAAAATGTACCGAGCGGTTGGTCCCCAGAACCATGATGGAAAACCACTAGTGTAAATGACATAACAATAATCCCTCACAAGTCAGTTTTTTTTTTTATTAAATGCAATCTGCAAATCATTAAAGGTGCAATAGGTGATTGTCTTCAGAAGCATTTGTTGTTATGCTGGTTGAAAGTCCCTTCACATCCCAATAGCAATAATTAATTTAAGTGGTCTAAATGTATTTATATGTATTTATATATTCCGTGGAAGGCGTAGGACCAAGAAATGTTCGTCAAATTGGCTTTCCTAACTGTATGTCAACATATGTATTAGCATACCTCTGCGCACCCGGTTCGTGCAGACAGTATACGTCATCAGCGTGTTTATGCACGCGGTGCAGACCACAGACAGAGTGAAGAATCTTCAAGATTATTATAATACTAATGTGTTGCATAGATATCAACATATAATATACACTCTCATTTAGATCATGAAAATACAAACTCCTAGATAGCAAACATGGTATAGGTGAGGTTATATTAACTAGTGATCTATCATAAGCATGCATAAAACATATACAATACACAAAACCATATACAAGAAGGTAGTAATCATACACAATGACCTGGGGATATGCATGATAGAAAAATTTGTCTATGAATTAATGTAAGTAGTCGTTTCCTATAGCAGTATGTGTCTGTTTGAGAGAATTAAGTTGGAGGGAAGATTCTCTCTACATACTTTTATGTCGTAAAGTTTATCTGATCTGGCTGAGATGTCTTGGTTGCCATGGTAACCAGAGGCCTGGACGTCATTCACAGACATGTAGGCACCGAGTCTGGTGTTGAGTGAGGGGGTTTGTGATTGTTTGTTAATCTAATGAATAATTGATTTGTTAAATCTAATGAACAATTGTGTGTCTGATTGGTCCAAATGCTACATATTTCCCCACTTTCGAGCATTGTTGTCTCCTGTAGTCAATGGCGAACGACGGAAAATAAGCAGGGAAATCA